TAAGGGTCTTCAATTGTATACAATGTTGTAGTTAGAGCTACAATTCTAGACTAGGGTCCAATCCCCCATTCTGCTGCTCTTGTATAAGTCACACATCTCAGCTCCGAAAATCCCAGTTTTAGTTTTGCCTTAGGATCTCTGTGTCAGAAATGACTTGAAGGCGCACACAATGACAAAATTTGGGGAGAGTGTTAAAGGACTTGACTTGTGTATAGATTGTGAATATAATAGGCTTGGTTGATCAAAACGAATGGTTCAATACTCATTTCGGATCTAAGGGGGGGGGGCGCCAGCAGTTCACTTCTAAAGTCAATTCTGAATTTTTTAAAAATCGGAACTTTCAGAAACTTCTGAATCTATTCATTAATGCTAGGCACGAATGCGCAATATGCGAAAAACAGCACTGGGGAAATTCCAGGACCTTCTCCCTCCCTCAGTTTTACACCAATCTTGATTAAACTTGATATACTGTTGCAACACATCCTCCTCTGTTAGCATAACAAATATCAACATGTTCAGACAATCTGCCAATTTTTAAGAATTTTTTAAAACAATTTAAAAAATAATATATTGTAATCAAAGTAAAAGAGCTACCTCCTTAAATTTTTAAGGAAATGGCAAAAGGTTATAGGGGGATCACTCCCCCCAAGTTTCAGAGACATTCATACTGTTGGAAGTCACCCTTTGTACAACTGAGGTCCAGCAGGGTTGGGAAATGTAGCGTCAAGTCACCTCAAGGGTGCACTTCAAGCTCCCTATTTTTCAAACTTGCCAATGTCATTTTTAAAATTTGGAGCATTGTTCTTTTTTAGACCTACAACTTTATTGGTCAGATATTATAAAAAATACGGTTTCTATTACGTTAAAAAAAGAAAAAAACTTTCCTCGTTAAAAACAAAAGAATAGAAAAGTGAATATATGTGGAAACATAGAAGATAGAAAAGTAACGCTTCCTCCGCTAACATGGCTGCCTTCTTCATAATCAAAATATTTATCTTCTTGTCTTCTGTTTTCTGGTAGATAAACTTCTCAGGATCCCTTGGATATTGTTGGAGATCCTGTTATTTTTTTTGGGGGGGGGGAGTATGCTTTTTTTTATTCTTGTATTTCTAATAGTAAATAATACCACAAAAACAAACACAATATCTTCCAAAGTTGAGTCTTCAACTACCTCACAGGAGGAACAAAATTATTAAAACAGTTCAATTACAATGCATGAAGGTAACAATGGCCATCCAAAGGTTTAAATTTCACTATTTTCCAAAGCAGCATATTCCACTAATTTATTCAGGATGTCTTTCCTAATATTTGGGTGGAATATTTATTTCGGTAGCTTGTATCTGTTCCACCATGTTTTAGTCCTGGAGCAACAGAAAAAAATGCTAGTTTCCTTCTCAATAAGATATTGCAGCACAAGACTTAAATGCCTTGTGTTGCCAAGGAATTTCCTGTATTGAAAATGGATACAAGTGGAACAGTCTTTTTCAACCTGGGGCCTGTCCAGACAGTAACTTTATTGTGGTATCTACTGCAATAAAGGAGGAGCTGTCCAGACAACGTTATGGACAGTCCCAAATTAATTTGCTACAGACCAGGAAAACCATGGTTTTCCTGGTTTGTGGGTTTATTCTGCACCTTCTTGAAAAGTACAGGATAAACCCACTATTTCCGGTTCTGGACTGCAGAATACTGCAGTCCAGACAGTATTCCCACAATTTTCCAGGCTAAATTAGCCCGGAAAACTGGGAATCACAACCCCTCCCCCAAAGCCTTCCTAAAGCGAGTAAAAAAAAACTCACCCGGCCTCCCTGGGATGGCAACCGGGGTTGTCCTGGCACACCTACAAATGGTGTGCCAGGGGGTGAAGAAAATTGCTCTCCCCCTCACCCCCACTTCTTCTGGTGTATCATTTGTACACACAAGGAGAACTCAGGCAGCCATCCTAGAGAGGTCAGATGAGTTCTTTTTTTACTCACTTTAGGGGGGCTTCTGGGGAGGGGGGTTAGTTTCCCACTGCTGTACTGGGAAGTCCCAGTGCAACATCTGGACACCTACTCCAGAAACTGCACACTTTCTGGGGTAGGTGTAGACAGCCTCCCAGGAACATCTGTTTTTTAAACGCGGATGCTTCCGGGATAAAAGGCTATCTGGATCAGCTCCTGGAGAAACCCATGAAATAATTTTCATTTCCCTGGGATGTGTGGCAAAATAAGTTTTGTCTATAGCTCAAAACGTTTTTAAAAAATCCAAAACTTTGATGGAATAGTTTCTCATTAGGGAAAACAGCCTCTGAACTCAAGTACAGGTGACATGATGCAGATGTTGCTGAGATCAAGAGAAAACTTAAAGAGAAGCAAAAAAAAAAGTAAGGTTTACATCCACATGCCTATTTTGTACTGGAAGGAACATAACGTCTTTTAGAATAATGGTTTTATAGTTCACCTTATCTCTTTATCATTTATCCTCATCATCAACATGACCATTCTGGTCAATGAGAAGGGGTATGGATTTGCTTGATCTTTAACATTTCGGGTTCTCTAAATATGAACATGTAGGGTATAAAGGCGCTATACCCAAGGAACTACTTTTTCAGGGAGCAGGAACAGGGAATTTTAAAATTAGTGAATCTGCCAACACTTATAAGGAACTCACACGAGGGAGACTAACGAAAGGGAAGGCAAGCCACCAGTTTGTAAAGAAGCATGTACCTATGTGCAGTCCTCTGCCAACACTTCAATATCTGATTTGCTCTGTGTGTTGTAAAACAGAAGCCTCTTGGCTTGGAAACACAGGCTTGAGTCTCTCTTGTATGAAACAAAGTATCAATGTTTATTCAAACACTCCAGGCTCCAAACGATTGTGGTTACAATTGATATTTTTGTTGCAAACTTGAGTTATAGTCATGTATAATATACTTGGTGCACTTTCCTTTTAAACTCCTGACAGAATTTATATTGTAACTTAAACCACATTGGCTATAACTTATTCTCTGATTCCCCACTGCCTCTCTCTCTCAGACAGGGTTAACTTCTTCTTTTCACACAGAGATTCCTAACTGTTCTCAAACAGCTTTTCCTTAACTAACTTCACAAGCAGCCATTCTTAACTAACTCTCTAACAGAGATTCCTCACTGTCTCCCTCAGACAGTGTTTCTTAACTTCTTCTTTTAGGCAGAGATTCCCAACTCTCCTTTTCTTAAACAGGAAGTCCTAACTACTTCAATAACAGAAGTTCCTGACTTCTTTTCTCACACAGAGATCCCTCACACATTTTCATAACTGCTCATTTCTCAAACTCTGTTCCCAACTGTCATTTTCTAAAACTCCCACTCTAACTCCCTTTTTGAACTTAACTCCGCCCCTTTAGAATGTTCGGCTCTGCTCTTCCCAACTGTCTGCACTAATCTGCATAGGACCAATCGGCCTCCATATGCAAATGATCTTGTCCACTGTTGCTATCCTACTTGTCTCTAATCTTCCCTATCTGCCCCCTGCAAACATAGATCTATGCACTAAAATTTTCACACAGAGTAACAAATTCGCTACAGAGACTGATAAATCAGGGGAGAATATAACTGTATGTGTATATCTAACTGAAGTCTGAACTGAGAGGTTTTGTAACTGTTTCTTCAACTGGGGTATGCTGCCACCTTTCTAATATTCAGGCTGAGAGGATACTTAATAACACTCTTCCGTGTTACCATGAGGGTTTAAATATCAATTACACACACACAGGCTTTGGTAAAGAGTTAACTATAACAAAATGTTTATTTAACAGGTTTAATTCCTCTGGCACAAATGTGTGATGGTTTCAGAAGTAGTTCAGTGCTTGAATTACAGGTTCTAGTCAAAACCTTTAAACTGAGAAACTCTTATTCCACTAAGCAGTTTCTCCAATACAAACAGCCCAATTCTCCAGGGTCTGTTTACACCAATAGTTCTTCCTTGAAGCAACTATTAAGGATTTATCACAAGCTAAACTTCCTTCTTTTCCCTTTTCAATTCCTAACTGCTAATCCCAAACTCCAACTGTCAAAACCCAACTGCCAACTCAAGCCTCAGAATTCAAAAAGATACCTTTTTTCTTTATCTAAATATTAGGCTCCGCCCCCTATTCTAACCAACCCCTATTCTAACCAATCCTTCCTAAACAAGGACACGCCCCCTCTAAGAAAACCTATCCTAAGATGACGTCTCCCTGTTTCCCTAATCTAAAATGGCCGCCGGGGCTTTACTAGTATTAGTAATACAATATACTAATAATAATACCATATTATAATTGTATATTTTATATTACATGTAATACTAATAATTTATTTATTTATTTACTCCATTTGTATACCGCATTTATCAGCCTGGGACGGCGACTCAATGCGGTTTACAATAAAAATAGGCAACACTGAACAATATATAAGACGCACATACACAAACAACACACATATTCATCAACGCCTCAATTAGAATCAGATCCCGATCTCACAGTCCTTTTCCGTTCCTTGTTCAAATGCCGTCTTACTGAGTTGGTTGTCATTGCATAGTTATCCAAATGCCTGTTCATAGAGCCACGTCTTCACCCTCCTCCGAAACACCAGCAACGAAGGGGCCTGCCTGATGTCCACTGGTAGGGCATTCCATAGCCGAGGGGCCACCACCGAGAAGGCCCTGTCTCTCGTCCCCGCCAACCGCGCTTGTGACGCTGGCGGGACCGAGAGCAGGGCCTCCCCGGACGATCTTAACGTCCTAGCCGGTTCATAGGTGGAGATGCGTTCGGAGAGGTAAGTGGGGCCGGAACCGTGTAGGGCTTTATAGGCTAAAGCCAGCACCTTGAATTGTGCCCGGTAGCAAATTGGCAGCCAGTGGAGCTGGCTCAACAGGGGGGTGTGCTCCCTGAGTGCCGCTCCCGTTAGCAACCTGGCTGCCGAGCGCTGGACCATCTGAAGCTTCTGGGCAGTCTTCAAGGGCAACCCCACGTAGAGCGCGTTTATATATATATGAGCGATTCATTTGCGTGGCTTTAATCCTGTCACACCTATCTGTGACATAATATCCATGATTCCTTCATCCAGGTTGTCCCCGTCGTCTCCCCTCAGGATCTCGCGGTGTCTCATGCGCGTTAATTGCGGCTCCTTGATGGTTGCCCCTTGTTGAATAACTGGGGCCTTATATCCGCTCATGCTTGGGTTCTCTTTCCTACTCCAGAACAAGGCCGCAGATGCCAGGTTGGGAAAACTTCTGGGTGCAAGTTGTATTGCATCTGGGTGTCTAATAGCTCCAAGGTACTTGAACATCTCCTCATGGATTTCCTTGTGTTTCTGGACTGTTGCAAGGAACAGAGGGATTTCCTTTGCCACAGCAGGAATGGTCAGTGTTGCGTCCATGCATTGGTCGAGGTACTCTCGGATAGTAAGATACGTTGTCATCTGTGTGTGACCCGCCACCAATCTAATCTGGTCCATAAACTCTTTTCCCGGGGACTCAAAGGGTGTAGTCAACAGTCCAAAAACAAAGCTTCCAACCCATGGTTGGCTGTTAATCCAATCAACTGCGTCAGCTGGATTGCAAGTTTGGAGCAGGTTGGCTGTGTCTCCGTGATTCGGCTTGTTGAGGCTCACCATCAGGGTTTTGAATCGCTTTCTAACTTGAGTGGCCTCACTTCGTATCTTCTCTGAGGCCCCAATCACAACACCAATCAGCAGGGAGCAACAGTGACTGAGGATTGATGACACCTCTAGCTGAGTTAGCTCCCTGTCATGGTCTCCTGCTCCGTAAAACTTCGCAGTTTTGAAATGTCTAACACCATCTTTCTCAACAGGTACACTCAGATATGATTCTTCGGGGATTCCACCAAACCTAAGTGCGGCGTGAAGCCCTGGGATCATGAGGCACAAGAACACCAGGCTCGGAGTCACACAGTGGTAGGCCCCTCGCCTCTCCGCATTCAGAAGTGCTACTGCATTCCTCCAAAGATCTGACTCACGACCAACACCTGGATGGGGGTCAGTATCAGATGGCGGGTATTGGATAAACCTCCCGGAAAGCCCTCTAAGTCTCCTCGGCTTCCTCATCCTCCATCTCTTCCTCCCCGGCGGGTGCTGCCCTTTTGGTTGCGACCCCTCGATTCAGTTTGTCTTTTGGCCTCTTGTTCCCCATTCTGGGTGATTCCCCAAGTCTTTAATTTCCTGCGGAAGATCATCAGGGAAAGCGCCAGTCTGATGTCCACGGGAAGGGTGTTCCACAGCTGAGGAGCCACCACCGAGAAGGCCCTATTTCTCGTCCCCGCCAACCGTGCCTGTGAGGCAGGCGGGATCGAGAGCAGGGCCTCCCCGGAAGATCTCAAAGTCCTGGTAGGCCGAGATGCGGTCGGTTAGGTATCTTGGGCCAGAACCGTTTAAGGCTTTATAGGCCAACGCCAGCACCTTGAATTGAGCCCGGTAGCAGATCGGCAGCCAGTGGAGCTGGTACAACAAGGGGGTTGTATGCTCCCTGCGTTCCGCTCCTGTTAGTATCATGGCTGCCACACGTTGGACCAATTGAAGCTTCCGGGCCGTCTTCAAGGGCAACCCCACATAGAGAGCGTTGCAGTAGTCTAGTTGCACTACAAGCATACCAATACAGAATTTACAGGCATTTTTATAGGCAAAATACAGGAAAACATTTCAAAACTCCCTCCCTCTTCGGCTCCTTAGCAAATCAGGGAGAGGGAGGCAGGACGGAAGAGGGGCATTGTGTCCAGAGGATGATGACATTCTACTGTCCTGTGCCCGGGGGATTAGCCAGCCAAGGAAACTAGTTTTTTTGTTCTTGTGATGGATCAGTGATTAGGGATAATCATTTGATTCAGGTTTTCCCCTTCCAAGATCAGATAAGGTAAAAGGTGAGGCTGAGAAGGATGTTTGTTGTGAAGGAAAACTTGGCAGAGGAAATCACAGTCTGATGACCCCCTCCTAAAGTCAAATAATAACTCCAGGTCCCATTGTTCAGGTGTGAGTTCCAAGTAAATAGGTGTTTTTGTGATTCCTGATTGCCTTTTCAGCCCAGCGGGCCGCTCCCTGATCAGCCTCCCAAAGGGCAAAAGAGGTCATGGCTGGGTCAGACTTGTGAAGGAAATACATAGAAGAGAATTTATTTATTTATTTATTTATTATTTGCACTTGTTAACCGCCACTCTCAGCCCGAAGGCGACTCGTGGCGGTGTACAGAACATAGAACATAAAGACAACAGTTACAATAAATCAGGACCATAACACACATCTTACTAACACAACTAATTAAACTAAAAATCCGCTCGTCATGTTTGGGTCATAATCAGTCTCGTAGCCATAGTCCATTCCGGTGGTCATTCCAAAAATATAGTACTTAGTTGAAGGCCTTTTCAAAGAGCCAGGTTTTCAGGCCCTTGCGGAAGGCCATGAGGGAAGGCGCCTGTCTGATTTCAGCAGGGAGGGCGTTCCACAGCCGGGGGGCCACCACCGAGAAGGCCCGCTCTCTAGTCCCCGCCAGGCGTGCCTGTGAGGCAGGCGGGACCGAGAGAAGTATATAGATCAATCACCCCTTCTCCATCCCACCCACCAGAGAAATTTAATAAAGAAATTATTTTCAAGCAATGTGAGTCCATGAGCGGGAAAGATGTCCTTGTGAGTCCAAAATGTTAGGCAGAGCTGCTACGCTGGGATAGAAGCTGGTCCCTGGGAAACTACAACTCTCATGGAGGGCAGAAGTCCCAAGAGCCAGCCATTTCCCAAAAGCCTCATGGGGTCCTTGTTGTGTAGTCTGGTGCCCTTGCCCTTTGCAGAACTATAAGTCACTATCCCTTATTTTGGGGTGGGGGGTGCTCGACATCATTGTCAGTGTATGATTTATGTATGATGTGTGTTTAAATGTAATTTTATGTAATAGGATTATGATTGGAATAGAATTATATTGCCAGAATGTATTTTGTACTCAGAAGGGTTAAACAGCAGAGGTAGCAAGGTGTGAAGATGTATCCCTGAGCTCTAGCCTTGAGAGATTAGGGAGTTTGTGTTAGTTCCGATCTCTTTCGGTTTGTTCTTCGTTTCTGTCTGCTGTTCGTGTATGGTGTGTTTTGAGCTGCTTCAGTAAAACTGAATACCTGCTTCTACCAGAGACTCCAGAGTCCATTATTCTGAGCTTCAAACGCTTCTGCTATACTCTGCTAACGCTGACAAAGATAACATATAAATACCTTACAACCCAATTCTTTTCATGCTTTCTCCACAGTAAATCGATACCCTCCTAACATTTCTCAGATTTTGCCTGAGACAAATGCGGCCAAAATGGCAAAAGTAAACATGCAAACCAGGAGAGGCTGCAGCACCTTGTTCTTGCCTAAGCTTGCCAGGAAGGAATTGCAAAGTAATTTCATTGTAAACTACTTTTCCCTGGTCCTCAAACACTCTCTGCTTTATTTGGAAAAATGCTGCACTTGCAGAGCTCAGGCGGTGTTGTATTTCGGTGTTGATGTTGACTTTGGTGGAGAAGTGGCTGCCAAGGTAGCCGAAATGGCCAACATTTTCTAGTGTTAAACCATTAAGTTGTATCTCTGGCATTGGAGAGGGATTGGCTGGCGACTGCTGGAACACCACTTTGGTTTTCTCTATGTTCAATGACAGGCCAAGCTTCTCGTATGCTTCTGCGAAGGTGTTTAAAGTGGCTTGTAGGTCTTCTGAATGCACACAAGACGAGGGCAGTGTGGATGATTCAGGAAAAAGTAACATTAGGAAGAACTTCCTGACTGTGAGAGCTGTTCAGCAGTGGAACTCGCTGCCCCAGAGTGTAGTGTAGGGTCCTTCTTTGGAGGCTTTTAAGCAGAGGCTGGGTGGCCATCTGTCAAGGGTGCTTTGAATGTGATTTTCCTGCTTCTTGGCAGAATGGGGTTGAACTGGATGGCCCACGAGGTCTCTTCCAACTCTAGGATTCTATGAAATGCAGCTAAAACGTGGGATGAATGTGGATTAATCAGGCCTTCCCTTTTTAAAATTTGAACTGTTGAAGTGTGTGACTGTCAGTCTGGAAGCTGTTGATGAACCTTCTAAAAATTCAGATAGGTGCCTGATTGGTCGCAAACTTTCCAATTCAACACTTCATCCATTTCATCACCAGATGGTGCAACATACATTTTTCTTACAACTTTCCCCCTTTACAATGTTGTCTTTGCTTTCTGAAGGTACATAGGTTTTCAGATCTGTTCCATGAAGATCAGAGAAACCTACCATTTCTGGGTGCCCACAGGTCAACTTAGACTGCAGCAGAACAGGAGGAGTGGCCACCTCAGAGCAAAACCAGTCGGTTCCCTGCATTTGTATGAATTGCAAATACATTTTGCCTTTCTGCTAGACTGCCTTGCATAATAATCCATCTTTGGTTTTGGCAGTGTTCTGTTAAAATGTGCCCTGTAGCCTCGTCACTTGCAGTTAAGTATATTGTCTGCTTATCTGAAATGCTTCGAAACAGAAATATTTCAAACATTGGAGGAGTTTTTATATTTTGAAATTCTTGTATTTGCATACACACACACACACACACAATGAAATATCTCAGAGATGGCACCCAAGTCTATATGATAATCAGGTCATCTTATCTGATATTTATAGTTTTGTGCACACCAACAAACTATATTGAACCATCAGAATGCAAATGTGTCCCAATCTCATCCCCTCATACGGATGATTTTGAGGGTATATTTCAGATTTTTGGAAGTCTGGGTTAAGGATGTCCAAACCTGTATTGGGTTGTGCTATGAAAAGAGGGTCTTAAATCACATTATCTTTCGTTTTTATCAATATCTTTCCCTTTAGTCCTATTTACCAGGTTCACCTTAAGTTGAACCAAGAGGTGACTTGCCTGCAATCACACAAATCTAGATTTTAGCACAGGAGGGGGCAAATTGTCAATCCCAATTAAAATACTAAACATTAAAATGATCAAATCTGCATACAGATGATTTAAAATCTGCCAAACAGCAATGTTCTACACTGACAACTAGGTGTCATGCTCAGCATTATTTTTAATTATTACATTGGCCCAGCCATAGGTTTTTAACGTCCGTTGTGTTATTGTTAATGTTTATTGCTTATTTTCTGCTTATGAGTTTCATTTATTGTTTTGTATACTGTTGTTATTGTTTTTACTGTTGTATTGTGGGCTCGGCCTCATGTAAGCCGCACCGAGTCCCTTGGGGAGATGGTAGCGGGGTACAAAAAAGTATTATTATTATTATTATTATTTATCTGCTGTTGAAGGAAAGGATGGGATCATCCACGTCTTCGAGTGAGCAAAGTCTGAGAGTCACTGAGAATTTGTTTATTTATTTATTTATTTCTATACTTGTATACCGCTGTTTCTCAGCCTAGCTGGCGACTCAACGCGGTTTACAACAAAATACAACAGTCAACAGTATTCAATTTAAAACCATAAAAACATCATACACAATATTGGCACATCAATAACAATCCAATGCATCTCCTGACTAAAATCGTGATCCAGTTTCGTCGTCCATATTACCAGTCCTTTAATCATCAAATTCATTGCACCGAATTAACCAAATGCCTGTTCGAACATCCAGGTTTTTAATCTTTTTCGGAACACCATCAGCAAGGGGGCTGATCTTACCTCCATGGGAAGGGCGTTCCATAGCCGAGGGGCCACCACAGAAAAGGCCCTGTCTCGTCCCCGCCCTTGTTTCCACTAAGCAAGCGTTGAGAAGATGGTCGGACAAGGAGAAGGGCTTCACTAAGCTATTTGGACGTAATGGTTTGACTGCCAAGTCCTAGTAGTCCCAGCTGGCCCAACTAGTGGAGAGGAATGATGGAGCTTCAGACTGACAACATCTGGAGGCATGCATGGATTGGACCTCTGGGCTTGTACAGCCATAGAGCTGAAATAGAGACATGCCATGTAAAGACCAATATTGCTAATGCAGCAGCCACAGTTTCATGATGTAATCCTCTACATCAGATTCCCCCCATCCCCCAGTTACTCTTATTTTCCTCTGACTTCACCCAGTTATGCTCTGCTCATAATAACAAATCATAGAAACATAGAGTTG